GGGGGATTAAAATTAGATGGTATTCACACGTGCACTGTCACCGGCGAGCAGGGACAGGAATGTAAACGGAGCCCAGAAGCAGTCCGAAAATGGTCAGGCTGGAAGGCCGGGCGGGAAGGTCTGTTAACGCGTCCGCCGATGAGAGCGGGACCAAGGGGAGAAGGAGGGATTTTCCACTCTTATAGGCAACGTTTGCCCTGCGGGGACTCTCCGAGGTACCAAGCGGGGCTTAAATCCCGAGTGCCCCTCTCTAGCTTGGTGACGGGGAGCCCTGCCACCACCTCCGTGCCTTTCCAGCCCGGATACGTCGTGCAGGATGAGAGACAAGTCGGCGGCACTTTCGTTACGTGCGGGGATCCTTCCGGTCTTGCTTTCGCTCTCGCGCGCTCTTTGCTCAACGAGGGACGGAGCGACGCTAGGGCTCCCTCGTGATTTATCGCCCTCGGCCTACGGTGTATTTTTCCAAACCGGAGATTTGGAAAGCGGCTCGCCTAAAGAATCTGGGGGGAGGGAAAAAAAATTGGCAAGCAAATCCTCTCTCTCACGAAAACACTAGGGCTTTTTAGGGCTCGCCTCGGCCGGAAAATTACGGCGCGCCGAGCTAGGACGCGCTGGGCCTGGGCCTGCCTTGGAAACGGGAACGCTGGGCAGCCCGAGGTGGGAGCTGCCCTTGGCCGTGTTGCGCTGCCGAGAGCAGCCTCGGGGCACCTCCGGCTCCGTAGTACAGCCTCCCTTTTGACTTTACGAGTATCCTGACTTCCGTATCACTTGCTCTGAAACGGGATGGGGAAAAACAGGGTGGGCAGGAGGACTGGTGAGTATTCCTCAGCTAGGAACGGCCAAGAGGAGGGTAAAGCCTTAAGCCTGCCTGTGCCCAGTGTCTCCCTTTTTTGCAAAACCAAAGGGGACGTGAAACCTGCTTCAGTACAGCGGCTTGGAGGTATCCCACCGTACGGCTCCTCCGCGGGCAAACGCGGCCTCTCCAAAGCTGGCTAGAAAGACAACCCAAGCGCCGTAATTTAACAGAATCAAGATCTTTATTGATCTCGCTGTAACAGCAACCACTGGTGAGAGCTTCTTGTTTGTTGTTTTGTTTTTTTTTTTTTCTCCTCTCCTCCCAAACACCTGTTTTGAAAGACGGTAAAAAAAAAAACCCCAAAACAAACCTGAACAGCAGAGAAGCTGCCCAAAAGACACGTCAGGCACTCCTTGCTTTTCAGCCAGAACCCCCTTCAAAAAGAAAAGTCGATGGGCCGCGAAACGGAGACCAAAGGAGGCCGGCAACGGGGCGTCCGGAAACGAGCACAAAGTGGGTCTGCTGCTTTTAAACCGGCGGGTTGAACGGAAGAGGCGAAGGAC